CTGTGCCCTGTGGTTTCTTGCACTTAGATGGTAACTTCCCATGCTCCATATTGAATTGTATTACAATTATTATGGGGTCGTCCCTATCTTATAAAAAAGCAGCGGTATAGCTTCTTGTTTCAGAAAGTGTTTTGATTTTTCCCTCACTGAAAAAACATACGGTTTTCAGTTGCCTCCCTCCTCCTGTTCTCACGTGGGAAAAACCCCCAGAACCTGGCCATTCAGGACATGGTTTGCCTTAATTCTCTGAACTCCATTATCATGAATAGACTGGGCTGTGAAGTCATTGACAGAATTTGGTTTGACAAGCACTCAGAGGTCCAGTCTGTATCAAACTGTCTTATCTTGCAAACAGGTATTGGGAATTTTAAAACTAATTTCATCAGTACTAGTTTTGAAACTCCCAACTCAGAATGGATCTGGACTGAAACATTTTGTTATGGGAACATTGTTTTAACCTACTAGGTTCTATTAACTGCTTCAGTAGGCTGCTTGGCTGCCACACTGGCAAGCTGAGAAGAGGTCTTTGAGAATCGGGGACACAAAAGAGAGATAGAACCATTGAAGTTTCTGTATTTGCCTGCAGGGGTTAGGACCATACAGAAGATGGGCCTGGAAATTCTAAGCATCTGCAGTCAAATTGAACATATTGGCTTAATGTCTAGGGAATAAGGCAATGTCCGAGAAACATGAAAGAAGGAAGCATTCCTGAATTCTCTTCATTTTCAATGAAGATGTTCTTTAAGAATCATTTCTGGGAACTTTGTCAGAGTCTACAGCCTTGCTGGAATATTCTTACTTCAATATGTGTATAACTCAGTGTGGTATTATTTGAGTAAGGGAACTTGCTGTTTCTTACTTCCTATAATAACAGGCTTCCTTACCAAACTCTACGCTGTATTTTTTTCATTGTGGATTAAAGGCAATACATTTATGAATTTTCAATATTCCTGTCAAGATCTTACAAGAAGAAATTACTTTGTGGGGTATGTAGGGATGCTAGCAGTAGGTTGGGAAGTGGAACATAATCTCAAAATAGTGCATGCTAGCTTGGTGGCTTTCCCACAGAGAGGTAATGTATCTTGATGAGAGAAGAGCATTTGTAGAAGAGGTTTTATTTGCAGCTCTTCACCCATTGCTTTCCTCTGCACCAACCTAATCTCCTGGGCTCCCCTGGAATCACATTCTCTAAATACCTCCTTAGGTAGACCTTCATTACCCGGGACAAGATAAAGGTCTCTTTCTCTGCCCTTAATCTGTTGTTTGTAATGGGATTTGGGAGCAACTCAGAAAGAAACGACAGGAACTATTGAGAAGTTGACACAGGGAAATAGAAATAAAATCACAGAATAAGAAAGAAGGAAGAACTCTAGTAATCATCTGGTAGAAATACCACCCAGTGCTGGAACTGTTGCTGTGACATTTCTGATAGATGTCCTCTGTTGGACATTTTCATTGACTCAGAGCACACACAGTGCTTCTTACAGGCAGTGCGCTCTTTTGTTGCAGAGTTCTAATTGTTAATAAAGTCTTTTTTATTTTTATCTTTAATTGACTCCAAATCTCTCTTTTAGGATGTCTAACCCATTGCCCTTGGCTCATTATGTATGAAAATACTCTTCTAAGTCCTAGAACACACAGTCACAGCTCTTGTTGAATTTGTCAAAGAAAACTTCAGGAATTATAATAAGTAGTTATTATATTGCTTACTGACTTGATTAGTGGAAGCAAATTTCTGGAGAAATCATGCTTTCTATACACCTCCAGGATGGTATAAGACAATCTGGCATGAATACATTAATTAACTACTTAGGGAATTTTCTACCTGATTATGGTTTATTTTACTTACTCTCTGGTTGGCAGTTCCTGAGGCACTTATGTAAATAAGCAAAGGAAATGGTCAGGGGAATTACTTATATTTTGCCTCCACCTGTGATGTTCTGTGATGTTTTAGGTACAGGAATGAAGATGAAAAAAAACGTGAAGGCAAGGGTGGCTCCCAAGACATGGCATTCAACTATATTACCAACAAAAGGAACATTACAAGGTGGAGTTTTTATAAGAGTGGGATTCCCAGAAGCAGACAGTAACATCTGAGTGATTGTTGTGAAAAGTGTTTGAGGGCTAAGTTGAGGTCAGGTTGATAGGAGATCTTAAGTGGCAGAAGAGGAACCCAGATATCTCTTTACGAGCCTGGAAAGCCCACTGGTTATTCTAGATGTGTCAGTGAGAATAGGCCAAGTTAGGTTGAACCAAAATCTTACAAATTTCAAACTCTTGATGTAGCAGATGACGTCTTAATCATCTTCCATGACCAATACTGGTAGGTAAGGGCTCTACTCATCACAGCGGCTGAGTGTAGCCATAGTCTCGTGTCCTCAACTCGTGTTCCTGCCATCAGTGGGAGAAGGAAGTATGGCATATAATGCACTGTCTCCTAGAGCTTCCCCTCGAAAGTGTCACACATTTCCCCTGCTCACGTTTTATTAACCAAAGCAGGCCACATTGCCATGCCAAAGATAAAAGGGTGCAGGGACATCCAATCTTAACCATGGTGCAAAATGAGAACACAAACATTTCTGAACAGTTCTAGTAACTTTCGCTTCCGAGCACAAGAGAGAAATGATGGGGAAAAATACAAGGTCAGTGGTGGTGCACAGTTATGTATACACAGCCGTCTATAATGGTTGAATTCTAAAGGCTGAGTGATTTCCAAAAGGCATAGTTTGTTTAACATAGGGATTCACTAAAGCCATTATTTCACCCTGTTTTCTGCATGTTGTCTGTCTCTGGATCTTTTTTTCAAGTTCACTGACTTCACCTATATTGATGTGAAGTTACCTTGGAGTGATATGGAGAAGGGTCTTTCATGACTTGTTATAAGGTTCTCTCTTTGTCTCATTTTTGTTCATTATTTTTATTAATGATTTGGATTAAAGAGCAAAAAGAGTGAAGGGTGAGGGAAGGTCTGGTGCTGACTAAATCTACATAAGGCAAAAGGCTGTCTCAGAGAGTTAATATGGCACAAAATTCAAATTGATCTTGATGGGACATGTATGCCTATGGTTAAACTTAGCAAGAAAGCATAGCTCTGTATTTAGATGTTTTGTAAATCACCTTTATATGCAGAGGATTGGGAATATCTGACTTGAAATCAGTGATTCTAAATCCTCCTCAGAGCCTTCATCTTGTTACAAGTGATAGAAGACTAGGGTGATTTGGCAATCTAAAAAAAAAATACTTCCTTGATAAATGAACTTGACCCTAATGTTGCAGATTCTGGCATTAGTGGGCACTCAAAAACATCTATCGAACAAATGAATAAATGAATTAAAATTAAAGACAGGTATTTCCTAGGTTTCTAAATGTAACACAGACATGTTTAAGGGCAATTAAAGTTCCTTCCTTCTTTAAGAGGAGAAAGGATTTGTTCTAAATAATCCAAGGGCACACAGACAACATATTTCTATTTGTGCTGATTTAAACTGTTGAAAACGTGAAAGGCACCGAGATAATAAGCAAACTAATGAGATGGTAAACCGGGGTCATTATAAGACCCAATTAATTTGATCCAGAAATTCTTGGTGAGAGATTTGATTATTTGGACACCTCCTTGTGATATGTAGAATCAAAATTTGGGAATCAGCAACACAGTGGGCAAAAGGGTTCTGACTTAAGAATCATGGAATTGGGCCTTGGCTCTGGCTTTATCATTTATTCACCGTAGGACCCTGGGCAAGGCATCTGACCCTTGTAACTGAAGTTACTAAACTAACCCTAGCTAACTTAGGTTATTAAGTTTATCCACAGGCAAAGGCTTGGAATGTATGGGTTGGGGGGAAGCCTGCCCTGCCAACCTCACTGAGCAGTGGTAGGAGCTAAGTGAGGTAATGTACAGGAAAGCACTGGGTAAATGGCAAAGCATTTTACAAAGGTAGGAAGCATTATGATGACATTTTCCAAATGGCCTCAAGAAGCTGATTTGGTTGTGCAACATAAACATACTGCTGGGAGGCTGTGATTACCAGCATCTCTATCAGAGACTTTTCAGAATAAATGCAGTGACTCAAATGCATTTCCAGATGATGCTTTGAGGATTACTAACAGAGCAGCTATTACAAAACAGTCAGACCCACCGGCCCATGCCCTAATCCTATTATAAGACAGACCGATACCACTTATTTTGCTATGTCAACCTTCCTTTGGCTGATAGTAATATTTGTTAGGCCTATTATAAAAGGCACGCTGAACAGTGGGGAAGGCATTTCACAGTGAGTCAGCAATTGTAGCCTTGCAAATTCTAATTGCCTATACCTTCAGGTGTAGACAATTGTGTGCTGGCTTTCTATGTGTATCCTGAAATGAGTGAAATAAAACTGAAAACCTAAGTGATACAAGATTACATGGGCACTGAACATACTGGACAACTCCCATCAAGTTGAATATTACATACTGAAAAAACAGGTAGAAAGGTGGTGGTGTGCAGTATATGTCTGTTTCCAGTAAGAAACGGAGGTCCAGGATAGTTACAAGGAAACAGATCAAATCAGAAAGTGTGACAGCTTAATTTATAAGCAGGTATGCAGGTATGCAGGTCTGTGTAAATGCTCTGTGGATTTTTCCTGTGGAAGCAGATCTGAGGCTTTTTATGTTTCCTTCTATTTGAAAGTAGCCTTCTGGGTATAGGGAAGTTCTCTAGCATGTGTGGGCAGCTCTCTAGAGTGAGTAGGGTTGGCAACCCTGAGGAAAATGGAAGTTCTCTAAGGTAGCACTTCTCAAATATTAATGTGCATATAAATCACCTGGGCATGTTATTAAAATGCAGATTTTATTCAGTATTTCTGGGCTGGGGCCCGATATCTGCATTTGTAACAAGCTCCAAGGTGATACCCATATGGCTGGTTTACAGCCCCATCTTGGAGTAGCGAGGGAGATGTTATAATTCCAGTCCTGGCACAGATGTGTAAGGCAGACTTGGTTTTTCCTCTCTCTCTCTCTAGCTCTTTCTTTCTCTCTCCCCGGCCTCACTTTATTGCTCTTTCATACAATTGAAAGTAGTTATGAAGTTTTAACTAGGAGGAATGTGAGTGGGTGGAATCACACACTAATTGCTTCACTTCTTGCTGACCACCCAGTTCTCAGGGGCAAGGAACTAACAGTTCTGAGACCATTTTTGTTCATGGAAAGGTGGCTGTGCTTTCCAGCAGGACAAGAAACCTCTGAAAGTGTCCCTAATTTCAGAAAAGCTCATTATTTAAGATGTCATCATCCTACTGTTTCGGAGGAGGAATAAAATTCCTGTTTAAACTAGAGTTGATAAGTATAACCAATAATAATAATACTTGCTATTTATTCAGGGCTCACTGTCTGCTATGTGTTTTACTGAAATCATCTTATTAAATCCATATATGATTTCTACAAGGCAAACACTATATAATTATCTATATTTTACGTGTGAGACGTCTGAGCCTGGAATCAAAGACTGGCCTCTGAACCTCACTGCTAACCTTCCTGTTGACAGGACCAGGCCACCTTTTGGCCTAAAGCTGTTTTGTCCCTTATTGGTTATTTGCATGAGTAAATATTATGGGTTCAGCATGTATCTGTGGAATTAGTGGGAGTAGACATATTCGTTAAGTCTGTACTGTATCTTTAAATGTAAGCTATTATATTGGGAATAAATACAATATACTTTCTGTGGTTTGTTTCTTCTTTAAAAAACATTTGCCTTGAGTAGGTACTTTGGTTATTATTTTGGTTTTGTTTTAAATTAAGACAGGATGATTTGCACATAGATGCTCAATTGGTATTTGTTCAATTATGGGAGAAAAGAAAGAAAGGATTAAAAGGTGAAGTTGTTCAGCAAAGCAAGAGCTGTCATTTGGGCCACTTTATCTTTAGAAGAAGAAGAACACTAAACATATTTGAAAGACCCTGAGACTTTGTCTGGCTTAAATCACTGTGAACTGAGACCTGTAACTCTTCTGTTAGTGCTTCTTTCTCAGACAGAGGTTTCTGTGCATATGAGGTTCCTACTCCTGCTTGGAAATTTATAATAGACAACAGCAAATTAAGTGGAGTTGAAAATAAACCCATTTCACTCGATTTAACTCAGTGTTTCCCATCCTGATTAGACCCTACAAACATCCATGCATGGAAGACCTATTACCCTCTCCAGGAGGCCCATGAAAAGTTCTTTGGCATGTACCGTTTTAGAGGAAGTATTTTCCCCTCCTTAGCTGGGTTTTCCAAAGTTGATTTTCTTAGTGGGGGAGTTCTGTAAATTCCAGATCTCACAGTGCATGCCAGTTTTTAAAATTCTTCTCTTCTAGAGTTGTGCGAGCAAAAGTGGGAAGGTTGTTGAAAAATGTCAAACTAGATTCGAAAGACAATCTATGTTCTCACTTTCATTGAGGGTTTCTCTGGAAGCCAAAGAAAGGAGTAACCAATAAAGCAAAGACGTAGGTCAAAGGACAACAGGGTCTTAGCATCTCAGATTCTTCTGTAGTGCCCTCCCCTTATACCCTACACTTCCTTTTGCATTTTGGGGGTTCATTAGCCTGCATGATAGACTTGATCTTAAAAGCCCTATTTTCCTTCCAACCAATTACACACATAGATGCTTTTTTATTTTAAGGATTTCACTTCTTTCACCATAGTGAAATAAATGAAACAATAAAATGCAAAAAAAAAAAAGTAAAATAAAATTAAGACATTTCTTGGAAATCTGTAGTTTCTGACTCCATTTTGCAGTGAAAGCACCATTTGGCCTCACCCACTGCCTTCATTCTGAGTTTTGCCTGTAACTTAACCATCCCACTCTGCTTTCTCTTCATCAGACCTTGCTTTAGGGAAGATCCAAAGGACACTTGTCCCAGTGTCCTGGTCTTGCCAGCCAGAGGCTTTCTTTACCACATGAACAAAATAAGTTATTTTGTGTCAAGTGAGAAATGTGGATCTCTGGAGCCCTCCAAGCTGGAGGACTTTGATTTCTCCAGCTCTCCCCAGCTCTCCCCAGCTGTCTGCCTTCACCAGGAAGGATGCGCTCAGGTGTTTTCTGTCATCCAGTCAGGGTGTTAAAATATTGGATTTCAATAAAACATTGTTGAACTGACAGGATGTGGGATGTTCATTTAGGGTGTCCTCAAGAGAGGTTTGTCCAGTTATAACTTAGAAGTTAAAGTGTAGAGATGGTGGTGACCATAGCAGAGAAAGAAAGGAAGTTTTTCTGTGTGTGTGTGTGCATGTGTGTGTCTGTGGGTGTATGCATGCGTGTGAGTTTTGCTTATGGAACACCCAGTCTGTGTGCTTGTGTGTATGTGTTTACATGTGCTCAGTGAGTGCTTATGCAGGCTCGTGCGGCCAAGAAGAGGACTGAACTAAGTAACTAAAGAATAGAGAGAGTCTGCTTCCTGCTACTACCGTGACCATCAAAGGAATACTGTAACAGTGATCATAGGGATGTCCTGGACTGAAAAGTTGAGGAAGCACTGCCTTTGGGTGCCTCTGGCAAGAATTTGAAATTTAGCTGTTGTTAACTTGTTCTTGGCTTTAGAGCATGAGGACACTTGTGAAATATATACCGAGTGGCTCACGGGGCCCTTTCCAAATTGAATTAGGCTGTGTGTTCAGTTCTTGAACCTCATCTTATGCAGCGTGCACTTATGTGTGAATATGAGCTCAAAATTGTTATAAAAGAAGTTTATATAAGAAAAGGCGGAAGCCTTTTCAGGGATATGCAGAGATGGAATTGACAACACCATGAGGCTGAAAATATTCATGTGTAGGTTGGATGATTCCCTGACATGAGTATAGTAGAGGTAATCCAGACATCACACAATGAATTGAGCTTGCAAAGCCTTTTCCAAAGCTAAGATTATAGTTTTTATTTGTAGCTCTATTATTAAGATGCTCTTTTTTGTTTTCTTTACATTGGATTTTCTGGAGAAGATGAATAGAATGTCAGTAATGGCCAGGACAAGAATTATCTGTGGAGAATGTTGTAAAATGGAATGTACTCTATTGCTTTGTCTTAAATGTTTGGTCTATTTCATGTCTTCACAGAGATTTGGAATTATATTAACATATGCATGTCAGAGAGGTATAATCTCATCTAGATTTCAGCATTAGACTCCAAGTAGTTTTAAAAGTTTGATTAAACATGCTTATAATAATTAGATTCAAAGCTTTTGGAATTCCAGCAGTTTTTTTGAAGGATTCAGCATCTAATGAAGTAAAATAAATTGCAGGGCTCTTGGTCAGGAATAAGCACTTTTGCAGCTTAGAGCTACAATTTATCAATAGGACTCGTTACTATTCGACTTGTTTTGTAGCTTTCTTTGAAGGTTTAAGGGCCATTGTCCACCGGCATGTCAGATTTAGTCACAGCCTATTATGAAAAGAAATAATTATTTTTCCAAGGTCTACAGGACCAGATTCAATTTTGGAAAATGAGCTAATATGATGGTTTGTGCCCTATCTTATCAGTCAAAAATGCTAAGATGTGTAGGACAGAGGAAGGTTGCAGAGATGATTAGAGAATTCTGATGATAGCTGTAGGGGTTTGGGCTAGAGCCAGCGTGATACTCTCTGTCTACAGCCTGGTGTAAACCAGGACAAACTGAACACCTGGGCTAGACTTAGGACAGAGTCCTGGAGACCAAGTCAGATTGAAGGGGTATTATGCCAGGGACATCAGAAGGAGACGCCACAAGAGCAAAGTGAGCCTCCCTAGCCTCATCTCGGCTGTGAGGTGATGGGATAACAGGAATATTAGAAAAAATGGAGCACAAGATAGTTTGAGGTTTGGGCTTTAAGATAGTGTTGGACCTATGAAGTCGAATCAATCAGATGGTTTCAAGAAGAAAGATTGGACAAGACAAGAGCATATCCCAATCAATTTATGCAAAACCTTTGTGAAACAGGATCCTCTGGCCATTCCAAATTGTTGTTTTAAGTTACGTTTTTGTTTTAATTTTGATTATTTTAGATATGCCCATGTTTCTTACCTTTGTATTCTCTTTTTATTAGGCAAAAGTTTTTTTGTGCTCAGGAAATGTATCTTATTTACTTTTATGTCTCTAGCAATCGCCACAAATGCTCATGATCAATGGATATGTGTGTAAATTATGGTTCACCTTGCATTTGAACTGCCCCTGCATTTACTGAAATTCCCCTTGAGTGGAGTTCCTCTAAGACTTTCTCTCTTGGGCTTCCTGCCTGGAGACAATTAGACAGTAGCCTCCTAGAACAAGGCAGTTCAGCTGTTGTAACTCCGAGTAGGTGCAAATAAGTAGTTGTATAGCAAATATTTGTCAGAAGAATTAACTTGCATTTCTCATCAGTAGGAGTCAAAGAGATAGCTCCCTTTGTAGTGAAGAGCAAATAAAAACAATATTCCGAATTCCGTAGAAGAAAAGAGCTGTGTACCTATCACCTCAGTCCCCTTCTTCCCTGTACCTTGAAGCTTTCCCATGTTGCCTTGAGAATGTGGTGTAAGAATCTGGGTGGATTTTCTTTAGAGTGATGAAAAGTTTAGGGTAAGAAACTGTCAATTTCTGTTCAGTGACATGAGAAAAGAACTGTTAAGAGCACTGCTTCATTTCAACATTTCTTTTTTTACCATAGTGGACTGCCCATCCTACCCTGCTAACCTTTCCAGGAAGACAAGATCATTGCCATGGTTACAAGTAGCTTAATCAATAGTCTAAGAAACAGTAGCAGTAGCAGCCACTCCTTACTGGCCTGGCTGTTGCCAAGGTCTCTCATTGAGGAGATTGTATCTTCTTCTCCAGCGTCTATTGTCATGACAGCTTCTACTCCACCCAGAGATTCCCTAGGATGGCATAAGATAAACCTAGATGATTTAAAGGACAAGCAATAAGGGTCAGATAACTTATTTTAAAACTCAAATCTTCATTTCATTATACATGCATATGTTATAAACACCAATTTAAAATGCTAACGTGAAGACAAGAATATATGCATGTGTTTTAAGTTATTCTTGAAAGAATTTCTTCAATTCTAATGGTGGTTAGAAAACACAGATTCACTAGGAACAAGTCCTCACTCATTCAGTTAATTTTCTTTTTCTACCAGTTTTACCATTTACTCGCTGAGTTTTTAGTAGCTTAGTTTTCTGGATCCCAGAAAAAAGCTAATGAGATCTTGTGTTACATTAACAAGTACAAAGCGGCAGACCAAGGGAGGAGATAGTCCTGTATCTGCTTAGTTACAACCCTGCATGTTGTATTCACATATGAGCGTGGGTATTGAAGGAATACCTTGATACACTGGCGGATATAGGAAGAAAGTGAGCAAAGGTGTGTAGTGGTCAGAAATCATCCCTTGTGAGAAACAGTTTGAAGCAACCAATTTCAGTCATCCTGGAGATGAATTTACTAAGGAGAACCATGTTAAATATCTTTGGAGATTTAAAGGACTGGTATATGGGCAAGGGGCTGAATATTAATGTCATCTCAGAAAGCTAAAGAAGTTCTAGTGTGGTGTGTGGGGTAACCAAAATGCAGATTGCAGATCAGTTTAGAGAATTTTCAGCAGAATCATGTAAACTTCATATTCTTGGTGCCTCCATTATAGGAACAATTACCAAGTTTGCTTATGTTTTCACTCTCTCCATTAAAAAAAAAATTCTCAAACTGTGATCTGGAGACAACCTACTACAGATTCAGGGGGTGGATAGATGGAGGATGGAAGAACCAAGAGAGACAGTAAAAAATCATATACCTGAACCAGACCCTAGAACTACAGAATCACAGTCTTTGGGTTTATGGCCCTTGAGTCTGCATTTTTTTTTTTTTTTTTTTTTGAGATGAAGTCTCTCTGTCTCCCAGGCTGGAGTGCAGTGGCGCAATCACTGCAACCTCCACCTCTGAGGTTCAAGTAATTCTTCTGCCTCAGCCTCCCGAGTAGCTGGAATTACAGGCACTGCCATTATGCCCAGCTAATTTTTTTTATTTGTATTTTTTTTTAATTTTTGGTAGAGATGGTGTTTCACCATATTGGTCAGGCTGGTCTTGATCCTCACCTCAGATGATCCACCTGCCTTGGCCTCCCAAAGTGCTGGGATTACAGGTATGAGCCACTGCTCCTGGCCATGAATCTCAATTTTAAACAGGCTTTACTGATGCTTACTAAAGTCTGCAGACACTATAGGTAACATGTCCTGAATTCGAACAAGCAGATATTTCTTCAAATACTGCTTTCATTCCTGGTTCAATAATTTACTTGTTAGCTTTCTAAAGTTCAGATTCCTCACCAGTAGTTTTAATAGCCTTGATAGTCTGGCCTCATCCTGTCTGTTTCACTTTTTAAGGTTCTCTCCAGCCACCATCTTGCCTGTCCTTCAAGTCTTGGTATCTTCACAAAACTTCTTCAAGCATTTTCTTTTTGTTTTTCTTTTTCTTTCTTTTTTTTTTTTTTTGAGATGGAGTCTCGCTCTGTTAGCAGGCTGGAATGCAGTGGGTGAGATCTCTGCCTCCCAGGTTCAAGTGATTCTCTTGTCTCAGCCTCTGGAGTAGCTGGGACTACAGGCACACACCACCACGCCCAGCTAATTTTTGTCTTTTTAGTAGAGACAGGTTTCACCATGTTGACCAGGATGGTCTCAATCATTTGACCTCATGATCCACCTGCCTCGGCCTCCCAAAGTGCTGGGATTACAAGTGAAGCACTTTCTATTTACTGTATTTGTTTTTTTTTCCCCCCACACATTCTGAAATCCTTCTAGTCAATATCATGGGACTACTCTTGAACTTTCTGAGTTCCACCATCACTTGGGGCACGTGGATATTCTCCAACAGGTAAGAGGGGTCTTTGAAGCACCTGGCATAGTACCCAGCCCAAGGTATTCCAGGTGTTTGGTGCTTAAAGCAGCATTTTAGGCTGTTCATGGCAACTCATCATTCGAGGCTTGAATCTCTTGTATTAAATGGTTAATTAAAGTCCAGCACTCTCATCAACACTGGTGGAAACCTACAATCTTCTGAGCATGCGACTTCCACCTCCAACTTTGGAGAAGTTTGACTTGAGAAATTTTTTCATTATTTTTAGCAAAGATCGTTCTCCAACTTCTACTTGTCAGTCTAGGAGTCTGTTGAGTCTTCATAGTATGTACTTCATAAACACCTGCTATAAAAACAGATTCCTTTGTTTCTCATAAGCCTCATTAAACTTACTCTCCTGATGTGTTTATGGGACTTCTTGCTGATGTAAGTCTGATTAGAAAGGAGAGGATCATTTGACATGAAATAAAATATCCAAGTGAAATGCGGTCTTTTTACTTTTTTGAGAAATACCTAGTGGGTATTTCAGAGGATTTAAAATAGCTCTTTTATTTCCCTTCCCTTAGCATATTAACTACCACAACAAAAAGGTTTGGAAAATGTCCATTTTGATGCATTTCCCCTTGAGAATACATTCACAGTGAACTTTCTAAAATGCTTTGTGATTGCCAGGTGACAGCCCCACACTGTCAACGTAAGTTCTGTAAGAACCAAATTGATTACATTGAAACAGCTGACACTGTACATTATGATTTGAATCTGCCACACCATCTCACACTGACTCCTAAAATTAAAAATAAGTATCACAACTATGGACATTTTCACTTGAGCTCATTCTTTTTTATTATTATGAGCTTCTTCTGAAACTTTCATTCAGAAACCTGAAATGAATGCATTTGTTTAATCAAGTCTATGCCTGATAGCCTAATCTCAGTTCTCCTCCTAACAGCAAAAGGAGGCATCATTGAAGCAAAATGGTTTGGGCGGTAATTCAGGTACCATCCTTCATGTACAGAAATGTGTTATCAGTGGGATGCTTGCTCTACATATGTCCTCTGCAGCAGAGAGGGATCGCGGCAGGGCAGCACAGCAGCGTCTCCCCTCTCTGGTTCCTCCTGTGACCAGTGTTGTATTTAAGAGACAGTTGATTGGTTAGAGATACACTAGACAATGGAATCTTATTTGTTCTTGAGTTTCAAGTACATACATTCCCAAGGGTGTAGAAAGGTGTTGATTCACTTCCTCTTCACCAGGTTGGCAAGGGAGGGACCCCAGGGTTCTTGGAGTGGCTGAACTTCCTTGACTAGGGAAGTCTGCTCTTGTAGGTTCTTATAGGACTATACAATGTTTCTCTGTTTTTTTTTTTTTTTTTTTGAGATGGAGTTTCGCTCTTGTTACCCAGGCTGGAGTGCAATGGCACAATCTCGGTTCACCGCAACCTCCGCCTCCTGGGTTCAAGCAATTCTCCTGCCTCGGCCTCCTGAGTAGCTGGGACTACTGGTGTGCACCACCATGCCCAGCAAATTTTTGTATATTTAGTAGAGACAGGGTTTCACCATGTTGACCAGGATGATCTCAATCTCTTAACCTTGGGATCCACCCGACTCGTCCTCCCAAAGTGCTGGGTTTATAGGCGTAAGCCACCGCCCCCAGCCCAGGACCATGCAATGTTTCTGCATGCTATCTCTCATAGCTATTAATTATAAATTGTTTGTGGTTATTTCATTCATTTCTGGCTCTCCTATCAGCAGACTGGGTGCAGGCACCATGTGTGTGTGCTTTTTCTCCCTCTTGAGTTGCAGTCTCTCTGACAGTTCCTAGTACTTGATATAAGGTTGGAAGGCAATGAGTATTTGTTGAATCATTGAAGGCATCTACTCAGTATTACAACTAATGTTTCTTTCCAAGGTTTCTCGTATCTTCCTCTTCCCAGAGCTGCCGTCTGATTCACCCTCTGAGTGTTTCTTGACTGGTGTTGGCAGTAGCCTTCTGGAGAGTCCTCCCACCTTGCCCCTGTCCACATGCTGCTGCTAGACTCATCTCCAAAATCGTCTGATCATATCGCTCTCCAGGACAGTCTTACCAGTGCTTCACTCCTACAGGTCCCTGGTGCTTCTCTTGTCCTTTGATTCCTCCTGCAGACAAGGGCTGCCCTATTTTCAGTTATCAAATCTGCAATCCACTAAATACATTTATTATTTATTTTTTTTGAGACAGTGTCTTACTCTGTCACCCAGGCTGGAGTGCAGCGGCGTGATCTCGGCTCACTCCAACCTCCGCCTCCTGGATTCAAGTGATTTTCCTCTCTCAGCCTCCTGAGTAACTGAGACTACAGGCATGCAACACATGCCCAGCTAATTTTTGTGTTTTTAGTAGAGACGGGGTTTGACCATGTTGCCTAGGCTGATCGCGAACTCCTGATTTCAAGTGATCTGCCGGCCTCAGCTTCCCCAAGTGCTGAGATGTCAGGCATGAGCCACTGTGCCCTGCCCAAATCCACTAAATAAATTTTAAAAGCAACTATGTGTCAGGGACGATGGGATAAAGGGTGATTGTGATGCAGGCACTTCCACAGACTGGATCATAGTCCAGGACATGGGGAGGCAGACCGAGAGCAAATACTACAATGCGACATGAGTTCAGGTGTCATCCTTCATGTACAGACATATGTTATCAGCGGGATGCTTACTGTACACCTGTCCTCTGTAGCAGAGGCAGGTCATGGCCAGGCAGCTTCCAGAAGCACTGCCAGTGCTGCAAGAGCCCCAGCAAGTGAGGTGGGAGAACAGCTGCTGTATCTCCTGCTCACATGTGGAGGCCATCTCCATGCTGCCCCGCCCCAGCGTTGACCTGCAGTCACACATACTGAGTCTCCTATCCTCAATTTTTAGTGTCTCTCTCTCTCTTTTTTTATTTTTTATTTTTCTTGAGACAGAGTGTTGCTCTTGTTGCCCAGGCTGGAGTGCAATGGGGTGATCTCGGCTCACCACAACCTCCGCCTCCCAGGTTCAAACGATTCTCCTGCCTCAGC